GCATCTTCCTTCCAACCCCCCAAATTTTATTTCTGGAGTATTTTAAAGTGAATTCTAGACATCATATCATTTCACTCATAAATAATTCACTATCTGTAACTAATAAAGACTTTATAAAACATAGTCATATTATTAATAATATGATCATAGTCACACTATTATCACACCCAACACAATTAATAGTAATTTCCTAATATCAGATCCTATTTTTAAGAAAAAAAATATTTTGCCAGTCATATACATATACAAAAGAAAGAAAGTGAAGTCACTCACTCATGTCTGACTCTTTATGACCCCACGGACTATAGCCTGCCAGGCTCCACCATCTTATGGACTTCCCAGCAAGAATACTGGAGTGGGTTCCATTTCGTTATCCACAGGATCTTCCCAACCCAGGGATTGAACTGGGTCTCCCGCACTACAGGCAGACTCTTCACCGTCTGAGACATCAGTGAAGTCCCTTATATATATAAAGTACACTGAAAAGAATGATAGAATTTCTGCGTATGCTATTTCTTTATAAAAACAAAATATTTTCCACTGTGTTTATAGGATTGATCTGCATAAAATAGCTGATTTTTGGTAACATTTATTTCAAGGACTTCACCCAAATTTACAATGGTTTGTAAATTTGAGGTCCTATATTTTGAGGATAAGTAGTGATTCCACATAGAATTGAGCAACTACAATTAACACCTAATTCAGGTATGATCTCTTGACTTCCTACTTTTACATTCCAGTTCCCTATAATGAAAAATACATCATTTCTTTGGTATTAGTTCTAGAAGTTCTTGTAGGTCTTCACAGAACCATTCAACTTCAGCTTCAGCATTACTTGTCAGGGCAGAGACTTGGATTACTGTGATATTGAATTGTTTGCCTTGGAAACGAACAGAGATCATTCTGTCATTTTTGAGATTGCATCCAAGTACTGCATTTTGGATGCTTTTGTTGACTATGAGAGCTACTCCATTTCTTCTAAGGGATTCTTGCCCACTGTAGTAGATATAACAGTCATTTAAATTAAATTCACCCAGTCGAGTCCATTTTAATTCACTGATTCCTAAAATGTTGATGTTCACTCTTGCCATCTCCTGTTTGACCACTTTTAATTTACCTTGATCCATGAACCTAACATTCCAGGTTCCTATGCATTATTGCTCCTTACAGCATCGGACTTTACTTCCATTACCAGTCACATCCACAACTGTGTGTTCTTTTCACTTCGTCTCCTTTTCTTCATTCTTTCTGGAGTTATTCCTCCACCCTTCTCCAGTAGCATATTGGCACTTGCTGACTTGGGGAGTTCATCTTTCAGTGTCCTATCTTTTTGCCTTTTCATACAGTTCATGGAGTTCTCAAGGCAAGAATACTGAAGTGGTTTGCCATTCCCTTCTCCAGTGGACCACGTTTTGTCAGAACTCTCCACCATGACCCATCTGTCTTGGGTGGCCCTGGGCAGCATGACTCATAGTTTCACTGAGTTAGAGAAGGTTGTGATCCATATGATCAATTTGGTTAGTTTTCTATGATTGTGGTTTTCAGTCTGTCTGTCCTCTAATGACTAAGGCTAAGAGGCTTATGGAAGCTTCCTAATGAGAGACTGACTATGGGGAAAACTAGGTCCTGTTCTGATGGGCAGGGCAATGTTCAGTAAATCTTTGATTCAAATTTCTTTGATGGGTGGGGCTGTTTCCTCCCTGTTCATTGGCCTGAGGCCAAATAACCCAGATAACCACAATGGTGTGATCACTTACCTAAACCCAGACATCCTGGAGTCTGAAGTAAAGTGGGCCTTAGGAAGCATAACTAGGAACAAAGCTAGTGGAGGTGATGGAATTCCAGCTGAGCTCTTTGAAACCCTAAAAGATGATGCTGTGAAAGTGTTGCACTCAATATGTCAGCAAATTTGGAAAACTCAGCAGTGGCAACAGCACTGGAAAGGGTCAGTTTTTATTCCAATCCCAAAGAAGGGCAATGCCAAAGAATGTTCAAAGTTCCATTCACCTTGAAGAAGAAAAGTTAAAATTTTACATAACGTCCTGCTGCTTCTGCCTCTATAACTCAGACTGCTCCTTGCAAAGCCTGGATCATGTAGGTCTCAGAAAACAGGGACTCACAATACTAGGAACTAGAGCTTATTTCACTCACCCTTGTCATGCTCTTTGCAATCACCCAACCCCTGCAGAGCCACAAGCCCGCTTAATTATGTCTGTCCGTGTGTAAAAACTCTCTAACTCCTTTGTTTGGGGCTCAGAGCTTGGAGTGGTAACTTCTCTGGGCCCACCGGCATAATAAATCTGAGTTCTCCAACTCTCTGAGTGTGGTGCTTGGTTTCTCAAGTACTAGTTTCTGCAACAATCTCACATGATAGCAAAGTAATGCTCAAAATTCTCCAAGTGAGGCTTCAAAAGTCTGAATCAGAAATTTCCAGATGTTCAAGCTGGATTTAGAAAAAGCAGAGGAATGAGAGATCAAATTGCCAACATCCATCAGATCATTGAAAACACAAGAAAGTTCCAGAAAAACATCTACTTCTGCTTTATTGACTACGCCAAAGCCTTTTACCATGTGGATCACAACAAACTATGGAAAATTCTTCAAAAGCTAGGAATACTAGACAGCCTGCCTCCTGAAAAATCTGTATGCAGGTTAAGAAGCAACAGTTAGAACCAGACATAGAGCAGTGGACTGGTTCCAAATTGAGAAAGAAGTACATCAAAGCTGTATTGTTGCTGTAAGGTGAGTGCAGAGAAAAAAAGAGAGAGCTGGGCAGTCAGGCAAGAAAGGGAAATTTATTAGAGGGAAATAGAGGGTGACTGGCTCTTAAGGAGAACCAGTGTTCTCCCTTTCTGATGGAGTCCTTCTTATACCCCACCAATGAAAAATTCTCTGAAGGGATGGTCACATAGCCCAGGGTCTGGAATCTGGTGCTCTCACAGCTTTGAGAACTTAGGCACCAGTGAGATAACATGATGCCATTTGGGCAATTTGGTCAGTCTCACAGAACACTGTGATTTATTATTTGTTTGCGAGGTTGACATAAAGAGCCATATTATCAACGAGACCCCACGTGGGCCCTTTCAGCCACCCTGCTTATTTAACTTATATGCAGAATACATCATGAAAAATGCTGGGCTGGATGCAGCACAGCTGGAATCAAGATTGCCGGGATAAATATCAATAATCTCAAATACGCAGATGACACCACCCTTATGGCAGAAAGTGAAAAGGAACTGCCGAGCATCTTGATGAAAAGTGAAAGAGGAGAGTGAAAATGCTGGCTTAAAACTCAACATTCAAAAAAATGAAGATTGTGGCATCCGGTCCCATCGCTTCATGGAAAATAGATGGGGAAACAACAGAAACAGTGACAGACTTTATTTCTCGGGCTCCAAAATCACTGCAGATGGTGACTGCAGCCATGAACTTAAAAGATGCTTGCTCCTTGGAAGAAAAGCTATGACCAACATAGACAGCATAATAAAAAAAAAAGAGACATTACTTTACCAACAAAGGTCCATCTAGTGAAAGCTTTGGTTTTTCCACTAGTCATGTACAGATGTGAGAGCTGGACTATAAATAAAGCTAAGCACTGAAAATGGATGCTTTTGAACTATGTTTTTGGAGAAGACTGTTGAGAGTCTCTGTAAGGAGATCAAGCCAGTCCATTCTGAAGGAAATCAGTCCTGAATATTCATTGGAAGGACTGATGCTGAAGCTGAAGATCCAGTACTTTGGCCGCTTAATGTGAAGAATTCAGTCATCGGAAAAGATTCTGATTCTGGGAAAGAGTGAAGGCAGGAGAAGGGGATGACAGGAAACGAGATGGTTGTATGGCATCACTGACTTGATGGACATGAGTTTGAGCAAGCTCCAGGAATTGGTGATGGACAGGGAAGCCTGATGTGCTGCAGTCCATTGGGTTGCAAAAGTCAGACACAACTGAACAAGTCAGCGGAACTGAACTAAGGTATGATTGTCTCTGCAGGCAAAATTCACCTTTCTCTTTCTCACCTGTAAGTACAGATTGGATATTGATCTCATGTTCCTTGCAATACTCTTAGTTGTATAGTTGTCCTTAAGCCCAGGACAGAAATTACTGTTTTTCATGATAAGTGGACCACACTATGCTTTACATATGTAATAAATTCTTTTAAACCACACCTTTTAAAAGTACACCCGGCCTCTAATGGTAATTGTCATACATTCTTGGATGTGGTAATCTTAAGGTACAGATGCATCAAACGTGTATCTGGAAAGAGATTTGGAAATAATTTAAGGTTACTTTCATTTTCAATCCGACAAATGTGTAGCCAAGAGGAGCTCGAGGTCCATTTTATTGCAACTGGCACTATTCCTATAAACTGATTCATTTTATCTGTTAGTATCCATGCTTTAAACAATTTATTTTTTGTGAAATTAAATTAATTTTTATAAAAATTAAAACTGCACGGTCTGGTTTCATTATTTACTATTAGGCAGTGCTACTTCATTATACACATTCAAAGAGTACTTAAAGTTTCCTCTCCTTTTCAGTAAGGGAAGCCCAACGTATCCCTTGTTTTTCCTTTACAGTAAAACAGTTTACTTGCAGTCCACTGTTGCTATTTTGCTATCATTGAATAGAGGATGCATAGTTTAATTACTGGCCACTTTTCTCTTTAGAAAGAAACCACAGGTGCCAACCCGTTACTTGGCACTAGCCAGTCAGGCTCTAATTATGCAACATTAGGTCACTGCTTATCTTCAACGCGGCAGTCCGGAAGGAAGGACGGCCGTTACCAAGGCAGCGAGCGCCCCGGGCAACGGCGAGTCTAGGCGGAAGGGGGCGTGGCCTCGGTGGCCCAGACCTGTAAGAGGCGGGCCGCCGCCGGCGCAGCGGGCGGGGCAGGTCTGCGGGCCAGGCGGGCCTCTCCGCGCACCACCTGGGAAGGCCAGGTCGGCGGGCCCGCCGCGTCCTTTTTAGCCCCGGGAGGAGCCCGGCTCCACGTCCCGGTATGGCGGGCGGGCGCCGCGGCCCGCTGTTCGCGGCGCTCCTAGCCGCCTGGGTCGTGGCGGTGGCGGTGGCGGAGGCGGAGGCCGACCAGGAGCAGGCCGCGCGGCCGCCGGAGCGGAGCCTGGTGCGGCCCATGACCGCTTCAAACTGGACGCTGGTGATGGAGGGCGAGTGGATGCTGAAATTGTGAGTGTGCCTGCCCGCCCCCGCCGCACGGTCCTTGCAGGCGCCGCTCCCGCGCCAGCTCTGCCCTGGTCTCGACCTGGGCCCAGGCCCGCGCAGCTAGGGACTTGCGTGGCCTGGCTGAGCCCAAACTCCCCGCCATGCAGGCATGTTTGGCCTGCCCCATGAGGACCCTGGGAGCAGGGCGTCACCCTGCCTGGCTTCTCTGCTGCTTTGGGAAGAAGTGTTTTAGGAATGGGGTGGGTAAGCGGTTTACCCAAGGGATGAAGGGGAACAGTAATCCTAAGGGATTGGATTTAGGTCCTACCTGAATTGTCTAGTGGTTTTCCTACTTTTTTCAATTTAAATCTGAATTTGGCACTAAGGAGTTCATGGTCTGAACCACAGTCAGCTCCCAGTCTTGTTTTGGCTGACTGTATAGAGCGTCTCTATCTTCGGCTGCAAAGAATATAAGCAATAGGATTTATGTATTGACCATCTGGTGATGTCCATGTGTAGCATCTTCTCTTGTGTTGTTGGAAGAAGGTGTTTGCTATGACCAGTGAGTTCTCTTGGCAAAACTCTATTAGCCTTTGCCCTGCTTCATTCTGTACTCCAAGGCTAAATTTGCCTGTTACTCCATGTATTTCTTGACTTCCTACTTTTGCATTCCAGTCCCCTGTAATGAAAAGGACATCTTTTTTGGGTGTTAGTTTTAGAAGGTCTGGTAGGTCTTCATAGAACCATTCAACTTCAGCTTCAGCATTACTTGTTGGGGCATAGACTTGCATTACTGTGATATTGAATGGTTTGCCTTGGAAACAAACAGAGATCATTCTGTCATTTTTGAGACTGCATCCAAGTACTGCATTTTGGACTCTTGCTGCCTGTGAGGGCTACTCCAGTTCTTCTAAGGGATTTTTGCCCACAGTACCCGAAGAACTATGGATGGAGGTTTGTGACATACAGGAGGCAGTGATCAAGATCATCCCCAAGAAAAAGAAAAGTAAAATGGGTGTCTGAGGAGGCCTTATAAATAGCTGTGAAAAGAAGAGACGTGAAAGACAAAGGAGAAAAGAAAGATACACTCCTTTGAATGCAGAGTTCCAAAGAATAGCAAGGAGAGATAAGAAAGCATTCCTCAGTGATCAGTGCAAAGAAAGAGGCAAACAATAGGATGGGAATGACTAAAGATCTCTTCAAGAAAATTAGAGATACCAAGGAAACATTTCATGCACAAATGGGCACAATAAAGGACAGAAATGGTATGGACCTAACAGAAGCAGAAAATATTAAAAAGAGGTGGCAAAAATACACAGAAGAGCTATACAAAAAAGATCTTCATGGCCTGGATAACCACAATGGTGTGATCACTCATTTAGAACCAGACATCCTGGAATGCGAATTCAAGAGGGTCTTCATCACTATGAACAAAGCTAGTGGAGGTGATGGAATTCCAGTTGAGCTGTTTCAAATCCCAAAAGATGATGCTGTGAAAGTGCTGCACTCATTATGCCAGCAAACTTGGGCAACTAAGCAGTGGCCACTGGACTGGAAAAGGTCAGTTTTCATTCCAATCCCAAAGAAAGGCAATGCCAAAGAATGCTCAAACTACTGCATAATTGCACTCTTCTCACAGGCTAATAAAGTAATGCTGCAAATTCTCCAAGCCAGGATTCAACAGTACATGAATTGTGAACTTCCAGATGGTTAAGCTGGATTTAGAAAAGACAGAGGAACCAAAGATAAAGTTGCCAACATCTGTTGGTTCATCAAAGCAAGAGAGTTCCAGAAATATATCTAATTCTGCTTTATTGACTATGCCAAAGCCTTTGACTATGTGGATTACTGCAAACTGTGGAAAATTCTTAAAGAGATGGGAATACCAGACCACTTTACCTGCCTCCTGAGAAATCTGTATGCAGGTCAAGAAGCAACAGATAGAACTGAACATGGAGAATGTTTGGGCTCTGATTCAAGATGACACTTGTAAGCAGAAGTAAGCTATATGGACACTTGAGATCTTTTTAGAAGTTCTCTTCCCATCGAGTTCACTTCAGAATAGGTCAATACAAAGTGAGGCTTTTCCTTTAAAATCCTTTAAAGGAAAGAAGATTTAAACCATTATGTATATCCAAATTCAAGAATCTATGTGCTCATCCTGAAAAAAATTTGGCTCTTTGTGATACTCCTTTGACAAAATTCAATACTTTAAAAAATAAAATTTATCTTCAGTACTATTATAGACCTACTATAAATTTCTAGGAATTTTTTCAAATATCCAATAAGTTATCACTTTGTTTAGATGAACTGGTCATAATAAATGGAGATTGTTAAGTATCCACCGGTGATATTTTTAATTTCTCTAAATAAGCAAATTAGGAAGCTTTCTGATAATGTTGGGTTGGTGAAAAAGCTTGTTCAGAATGGCTCAACCCAGTGTTAAAATTTTAACATTACTTTAAATGACAGTTCTTCATTTGTTTATATGCCACCTCTCCTCTGGGAATTTTTTCTTTTCTGTCCCAATTCATACTAAGCTCCTATAACACAATTCCTGGTTAGATCAGTGTCAGTAATTTATTTTTAAGGACTTAGCAGTGTTTGTTTTCTCCAAGACCCAAAAAAACCCTATTGTAAAATTTAATTTGTTGTGTTTTCTTTGTCTTTCAAACACTCAATTTTTTTGTATCCTTGCTGTTGAATTTTCAATTTTTAAAAAAGCACTTCTCTGTTAAAGAAAAATATCAACTAAAACTATATTTGTAGTAATTTACCATTTCTGTTCTGTAACCTTTTTTAAAACCTGACAAATTCTCCCATTAACATTAACATTTTCTTTAATGCTGTGGACTTTTTGTACATTCAGTTTTTCTGTTCGTATTTGCTTTCATATTCTTTTATACATTTTACTCCTGTTTCTGCCGTGTCTCTATGATTGGCTTGCTGTGCTTTCTTCCTCTTAACCTCTTTTGAAAAGTTTGTTCTTTCTTGGGTTAGGGAAGATTATCTAATCTTTAAATGGCCTTCTCATGTTTTCTTTTCTCTATTCCCATTGTCTGAGGAGGCCTTGCAAATAGCTATGAAAGGAGAAGCTAAAAGCAAAGGAGAAATGGAAAGACATTCCCATTTGAATGCAGAGTTCCAAAGAAAGGCCAAGAGAGATAACAAAGCCTTCCTCAGCGATCAATGCAAAGAAATAGAGGAAAACAACAGAAAGGGAAAGACTACAGATCTCTTCAAGAAAATTAGAGATAACAAGGGAACATTTCATGCAAAGATGGGCTCAATAAAGGACAGAAATGGTATGGACCTAACAGAAGTAGAAGATATTAAGAAGAGGTGGCAAGAATACACAGAAGAACAGTACAAAAAAAGGTCTTCATGACCTAGATAATCACAATGGTGTGATCACTCACCTAGACCAGACATCCTGGAATGTGAAGTCAAGTGGGACTTAGAAAGCATCATTACGAACAAAGCTAGTTGAGGTGATGGAATTCCAGTTGAGCTATTTCAAATCCTCAAAGATGATGCTGTGAAGGTGCTGCACTCAATATGCCAGCAAATTTGGAAGACTCAGCAGTGGCCTCAGGACTAAAAAGGTCCGTTTTCATTCCAATCCCTAAGAAAGGCAATCCAAAAGAATGCTCAAAGTACTGCACAATTGCACTTATCTCACATGCTAGTAAAGTAATGCTGAAAATTCTCCAACCCAGGCTTCAGCAATACGTGAGCCGAGAACTTCCAGATGTTCAAGCTGGTTTTAGAAAAGGCAGAGGAACCAGAGATTAAATTGCCAATATCTGTTGGATCATTGAAAAAGCAAGAGAGTTCCAGAAAAACATCTATTTCTGCTTTATTGACTATGCCAAAGCCTTCGACTGTGTGGATCACAATAAACTGTGGAAAATTCTGAAAGAGATCGGAATCCCAGGCCACCTGATCTGCCTCTTGAGAAACCTGTATGCACGTCAGGAAGCAACAGTTAGAACTGGACATGGAACAACAGACTGGTTCCAGATAGGAAAAGGAGTACATCAAGGCTGTATATTGTCACCCTGCTTATTTAACTTATATGCAGAGTACATCATGAGAAACGTTGGGCTGGAAGAAGCACAAGCTGGAATCAAGATTGCCGGGAGACATATCAATAATCTCAGATATGCAGATGACACCGCCCTTATGGCAGAGAGTGAAGAGGAACTAAAAAGCCTCTTGATGAGAGTGAAAAAGTTGGCTTAAAGCTCAACATTCAGAAAACTAAGATCATGGCATCTGGTCCCACACCTCATGGGAAATAGATGGGGAGACAGTGGAAACAGTGTCAGACTTTATTTTTGGGGGCTCCAAAATGACTGCAGTTGGTGATTGCAGCCATAAAATTAAAAGATGCTTACTCCTTGGAAGGAAAGTTATGACCAACCTAGATAGTATATTAAAAAGCAGAGACATTACTTTGCTAACAAAGGTCCATCTGGTAAAGGCTATGGTTTATCCAGTAGTCATGTATGGATGTGAGAGTTGGACTGTGAAGAAAGCTGAGTGCCAAAAAATTGATGTTTTTGAACTGTGGTGTTGGAGAAGACTCTTGAGAGCCCCTTGGACTGCAAGGAGATGCAACCAGTCCATCCTGAAGGAGATAAGTCCTGGGTGTTCATTGGAAAGAGTGATGCTGAAGCTGAAACTCCAATACTTTGGCCATCTCATGGGAAGAGTTGACTCATGGGAAAAGACCCTGTTGCTGGGAGGGATTGGGGGCAGGAGGAGAAGGGGACGACAGAGGATGAGAGGGCTGGATGACATCACCGACTCGATGGCATGAGTTTGAGTAAACTCCGGGAGTTTGTGATGGACAGGGTGGCCTGGTATGCTGTGATTCATGGGGTCGCAAAGAGTCGGAGACGACTGAGTGACTGAACTGAACTGAACTGATTGTTTCATACTATTATTCATTCAATTGCCTTGTAACCTTTTGCTGTTTTAAACACTTTCTTGGCCCCCATCATATAAGTTCTTGAGAA